GAGAAACCCAAACAAGTCATACTTGAAGGCGTCACTGCATGTTTCACCACTAAAAGGATCTGAATTCTGCAGAAGAGGTGTTGCGTAGGGGTTGATAAGATTCAATGAACAGTTATGTCGCTGAATTTTGACATTGATTAATGAAGCAAATCTACCATCATTCAGTTTTTTTGCTTCTTGTTATAATTTGATTTGTCATTTTGAAGAAAACGCTCATTTCAGGTCGCAATTTATTGAACAAGAAAGAGGCACCGCCAAGTGCGATCAAAGAATCTTCTGAGTCATCGCAGACTATCGACGAACAAGATGGCGATAAAGGTAATATGAGTACTGAATTTGATGTGGCTAATTGAGCGATTCAGCAATGAGATAGATAGATGTCTGCTCTCTTGGGAGGGATTGAGATTGTTCAGTTGCTTGATCACACAAAATTTCAGCGGTGTTTTGTTTCGATGAAATTAAATTCAGCACAACATTGTGCAGCACGAATCTACTTTTTTCCCCCAAATGATCACACGTCTCAATAGTTTCTCAGATTTTTGCATCCTTTTTTTTCTCGTTGACCTTACTCAATTTTTCATTGTCTGCAACCTGACCAAATACAAAACTGTAGCAAACCTTCTCGCACTGTACGAAAAGCGAACGGACGCAAAACTCTAAGAAATTTTTTATCACTCGTTTATTTTATTGTTTCTGATGTGGTGAGTTCTCCTCATACACATGCCTCAAACTGTATGTTTACTGTTTTCGATCAGTGCAAACTGTCTTGAATCGTATTGATTTACTTGTACGATCAGAGTATCGCAACTGACCACTGCTTACAATTCCTCAAATTAATAAGACCATTTGATTTCATAAGATCGCATATTCAACTATTGCATTCAGCAGTCATTCTCAGTCTGCGTCGTAATAGTTCACAGATTCAACGGTGAATATTCGTTAAATAATTCAGTTGTTCATTTTCAGTCGCTTTTCCATATTTCTCCTTTTCCTGCTCCATATTTCTCTGTGAATGATGGTGTGTCTTGTCTGGTTACGTTCTTCAGTGTTTGATTGGCATGTGTTTTGAATTAATCTGCTTTGTGTTGATGTTGCTCTGGAAATCTTGATCCGATCTGATCTGCGCTGAAGGATGTTCACAATATGGAAACGAACGATCGAGGCATTGCATCAGCAATAAGTTCACGAACGACTAAATTTCCTGCTGCTGTTGCAGTCACTTCAAACACTCATAAGATTTGATTGGGATGCGAAGTAATTGTAGTTGACATCGTTGGAAACTAACGATTGAAGTTTGCGGCTGTATCGGAGTGTACACGATCTCTGAGAATACGTATCGTTGTAGTTAATCCCAGTGTTGCTTCGGTTCTGTATGAAAAATTTTTTGTCATATTCCTCCATTACTGAGTCAACATTTTTGCTCGTTTCCCTTTCTATTCGATTTTAATCATTTTAGTTGGAGCGGAAATTTGTAACCACAGAAACGCTTTCTGATGTT